AGAAAAACATCCTAGGGCTGGAGAGATGACTCCCAAGGTAATGGCCTAAATTCAGTTCTTAGAACCCACTCCACAAAGTGGTCCTCTGACCTCCGCCCTCTATGCCATACATCACGCATACACACACACATACACACGTGCGCGCACATACACAGACACACACACTCACACACACACACTTATAAATAAGTAAATGTTTAAGACCATTTTGAAGGCAGAAAATTCTCCTGTAGAAAATGACATCTACAACACTGTGTCATACCCCCATCCCTCCCCTGCCTCACCCAACCCCCCATCCCTCTACACCCCTCTACTCTCACTCCCCTCACCCCCCGCCCCCTGTTTTTTGAAGTCAGGAAAATTCAAGCTGACCTATGCAGATCTTTCAAATGGCAAGACCATACAGTCTCTGTTGTCCTGCCTCTGGCGGGCTATTGGTGACTTAGCCAAGGCCACTTTTCCATATTATACACTAACCATAGTCCTCCAGAAGCATTCCAGGATAGCATGCTGTTTGTTCTCTGATCTTCTTCCAACTCTCTCTTTTCCTTTTTAAATTATCTTTTATCCTACCTCTTGGGAGGCTGAGGTGAGAGTATTTGCCACAACTTTGAGCCACCCCCCCTCTTCCTCAAGCTATATAGCAAAATCCTGCCTTTAAAAAAAGGAGATTAAAAAAAAAAAGTGATTCTAAAGCCAGGAGGTCGTTATGCCAGCCTTTAATCCCAGCACTTGGGAGACAAAGGAAGGCAGAAAGGCAGATCTCCGTAGGTTTGAGGCCAGCCTGGTCTACAGAGAGTTCCAGGATAGCTAGAACTATTACACAGAGAAACCCTGTCTTGAGAAAACAAATAGACAAAAAGATAATAATAAAATTTGGGACATGCCTGTAACCTCCACACCCTAGAGGATCTGCAATAAGGAGGCCAGCATGGGCTACATAGTAAGACAAAATTATTTCCCCTTTGTAGAAAGCCTTAGTAAACCTTCTATGGGCATGATGGGGTTAAACTGCTTGTGAAACATCTCAGGGCTGAAGACTAGCAGAGTCAGGAGCCAATGGCAGTGCAGTGGAGACTATGATGAGCTGAGCATTCTCAGTACAGCTTTGTGAATAACGATGAAGTTTCTTTTTTTCATTTATTTATTTTTATTTTATGTACATTAGTGTTTTGCCTGCATGTGTGTCTGTGTAAGGGTATCAGATCTTGGAGTTATAGATAATTGTTAGCTGCCATGTGGGTGCTGGGAATTGAACCCAGGTCCTCTGGAAAAGCAGCTAGTGCTCTTAACCACTGAGCCATTTATTTCTCCAGCCCCCGACTATGAAGTTTCTTAAGAAGAAGGCATTTCTTCATCCCAGTAAAAGCAATGAGAAAGGCTGAGGTGTGACTCGGTGGTAGACCATTTACCTATTATCCACAAGGCCCCAAGTTCCAGCTTCAGACACACACACACACACACACACACACACACACACACACAAAATGATAAAGCTGATTTCTAACATAGCATGATGAATTACTTTTGTAATCATCAGCATTCATTGAAGGAGGCTGAGGCAGGAGGATCACCTTGAGTTCAAGGCCAGATTTGACTACATAGTGAACTGAAGGCCAGCCTGGGCTACAGTGTGGAGACCCTGTCTCAAAAGACAGAGAGAGATACTGGAGAGACTGTTCAGCAATTAAGAGCACTGGCTGGTCTCACACAGGACCTGGGTTCCTTTCTCGGCACCCACACAGCGGCTCTTAACTGTAACTTCAGTTTCAGGAGATCTGACACCCTCTTCTGGCTTCCACAGATACTGTATGCATACAGTACACAGACATACATGTAGGCAAAACACTCATACATACATTTTGAGTTGAAAAAATAAAGGAGGGGAGGGGTGCCAGATGTGGTGGTGCTGGCCTGCAGTCCCGGCACTTGGGAGATGTAGATAGGACTTGAATTCTATCCTCAGCTAACAAAATTGGCACCAGCCTGGGACATGAGACCTTGTTGTAAAAAGAAACAAAACACAAACCACAGAGCCTAAATAAATAAAGTCCATGCTGGTCCCATGTTAGTAAATCAAGTTTGACATAATGTGGAGAGTTTGGTCAGAACTCTTTTTTTTTTTTTTTTTTTTTTTTTTGGTTTTTGGAGACAGGGTTTCTCTGTGGCTTTGGAGGCTGTCCTGGAACTAGCTCTTGTAGACCAGGCTGGTCTCGAACTCACAGAGATCCACCTGCCTCTGCCTCCCGAGTGCTGGGATTAAAGGCGTGCGCCACCACCGCCCGGCAGCCAGAACTCTTTCTATCTCATAAAAACATGACTTGTCTAAAGGTTTTGAAAATGAGTTGTACTGCCCTCACTTACTATGTAGTATATTTCTCGTGGCTTCATTCCCAGCACTTCTACAACACAAGAGTTGTATCGATGGTGTGATTCTACATTACAAGTAAGGAAACTGAGGAACAGATAGGCAAAGTAACTTGTCCAAGGTCGAACAGCTTACTAGAAGTCAGACTGGGATTCAAACCTCAACCATCAGGTGTTAGGGAAACATTCCACCCTGAGCCACATTCCCTGCCCTGAAGACATTTTTGCTCATCACAGCTTCGGGGAGGAAAGTAAATGACTAGGCAGTAGCTGAGGAGGCTGCTAAATAGCCTACAGGGTTCAGACAGCTCCTTATGCCTACCCACAATCAGTAATGTTGGGGCTAAAGAGCCTGGAGCTGAGGAACCAGCGCCCACACACCTTGTCTTGATCTGGAACGTAAGAGAGTAGGGACTCGAGCAGTCAGGAGAGCTTGCTCCTGTGGGAATGGAGTTGTTGCTGCCTGTTCTGGGGCTCCTTTCACTCAGCTAATTAGTGCATTTACGGAGTGTCTGGGCTCACGGGCTCCTTCCCCATCAGTCTTTCTAAAATCTAAAACGCTGCCCTGCAAGCTGAATGAGTGATTTAGCAAAAAGAGGCTTTCTGCTGGGTGAGACACAAGGGCGAAGGCCGTGGCCGTATTGAAGAAGCCGGCCATAGGGAGGCGTGGGAGAGTGGAGAGTGCTGACGATAAGGGCAGGGCACAAGCAGATAAAACCCAGAGAGACCTTTGCCTTTGGGAGGGGAGTGGGGCTTTCGATCTGGGCCCCACTCCCTGATTAAAGGTAATGAGGTGGGGGTGGTCCACCTGTGAACATTCATCATATTCTCTTTTAAAAGGTGGGACTTGCCTCTCTTTTTCTCTTCTACCACTCTTGTCCCTGGCTGGGAACTGGCCTCTGCCCCCTCTCTGTTCCCTTTTCTGACCCTTCTCTCTCCTCTCCCAATAAACCTCCCATGTGAGTCCTGTTGTATGGCGTGACTTCTCTTTGTGGCATTTTTTAAATTACAACACAATTGTCCCATATGAGATGTCCAGGTAAGCTTACCATAAGCACATTTAAATGGTTTGGACCCCAGGTTTTGTGAAGGGGGTGTCTCAAGATTGAATATAGTGCTTTGCAGAGACTAGACAAGCAACAGCCCCAGCCCTTGAGAACAACTCTGGGATACACTTGAGTGCCCAGGGCAGATTTGCCATAAAGCTATTAAATACCAAGTTCAGACCATGCACTGCACGGCCACTCAGAGGCACAGGCAGAGGCCCAGCCTCCCTTGGGTTCATATGACCATCTGCTGCTATCAAGTCTTTATTGGTGGGATTTTTTAAAAACAATTTATTTATGTGTTTAAATGTTTTGCCTGAATAGACGTCTGTGCACCATGTACCTGGTACCATAGAAGTCAGAAGAGGGCATCAGCTCCTCTGGAATTGGAATTATGGGTGGCTGTGAGCCACCATGTGTGTGCTGGAAATCAAACAGGAATCTGTGAATAGCAAGTATTCTGCACCACTGAGCCCTCTCTCCAGCCGCTGGAGCCTGTCCTGGAACTCACTTTGTAGACCAGACTGGCCTCAAACTCAGAGATCCGCCTGCCTGTGCCTCCTGGGTGCTGGGATTAAAGGGGAACAATACATCCCCAACCTGGAGGGATTCTTAATTGCTTAAGATGGATGCCTCTTATCTCCCGCTTCCTAGCTGTCCATGTGTCGAGCAGCTCTCCTCAGCAATGATGCTCTACCCAAGCACCCAGGGTCAAGAAACTGTGGACAGAACCCGCTGATGTTGAGGTGCTTTGTGCTCTTACTATGGCCATGGAAAGGCATCTGATGCAGTGGCTGACCAAGCAGAAGACACTGAAGTCATGTGCCAAACACATGTGGACAGATATCCACAGTCCTGGACCTGAGCACTCTCTCACAGCACACAAATCCTTCTGTGAAGACAATAACAAGAAAAGCAGCGGCTATTCTTATTGTGGACTCATCCGTGAGTGCAGGTCAGAAGCCAAAGGAAACAGCAGATCATTCTGCCCATGTCAAAACTGGTTACACACTGGGGGATGGTGAGACCAGCGTGGAAGGCACCCACTCACTGCACATGGCTTCAACTCAGTCATACCTGCCTGGGTACACAACACCCCCTCAGAATGACATACTTTTGCTTCCAGCCCCTGAGTGCTTCTATCTCTGTCACACAAGTTCTATCTTTATCATAACTAATCCAGATGGGTTGCTATGATGATTTGTTTTGTTGACACCTGGTTTCAGGCATCCCAGGCCAGCCTCAAACTGGCTAAGGCTGACACTGAATTCCTTATCCTCTTTTTGTTGTTGTTTGTTTGTGGTTTTCTGTTCTGTTTTTTTACGGTGTTTGTTTGTTTTGCTTTGGTTTTTAAGACAGGATCTCACTGTGTGGCCCTGGCTGGCTTGTAACTACCTACATAGACCAAACTGGCCTTGAGGTTACAGGGGTCTTCCTGCCTCTGCCTCCTGAGTGCTTGATTAAAGCTGTTCGACACCTTGCCTGGCTGACCCCTGATCCTCTTGCCTCCAACTCCCAAGCACTAGGGTTACACCCATCATGCCAGGCTTTGCTTCCTAGATCATTTTTTGGTATGCTTCAACTTACCAAGGGAATACAGCATATAGATCAGTTCAATGAACACTGTCTCACTTTCCATAGTATGTTCCCTTTCACCAAAATCTTTCTTCATATCGTTCATCCTCCCGTTAATCTGGCGATTTGCAGCTAAAATGAAACGTTGGCCAGGGGTAGTGGTGCATGCCTGTAATCCTGGCACCTGGGAAGTGGAGGCAGGAGGATTAGGAGTTACACGGAGACCAGCCTGGGTTATGTGAGACTCCAGAAAAGGAGCAAAAAAAAAAAAAAAAGAAAGAAAGAAAGAAAAGAAACAACAATAGAAAGGAATCATGACCCCAGTTTTGCACATTCATCAGCAATTAGAGTCTCGATGTTTCAATGTTATCTTGGAACCTTATGACAGCTCTAAGAGAATGTGGGTGGCTGGACTGGTTAGTTTTATGTCAGCCTCCCACAGGCTAAGGTCATCTGGAGAGAGGCAAGCCTTTGGAGGCTCCCATTAATGATTGATGGGGGAGAGCCCAGTTCACTGTGGGTGGGGCCATCCCTGGATTGGTGGTCCTGGGTTCTATAAGAAAGCAGGCTGAGCAAGCTACGGGGAACAAGTCAATGAGCACTGTTCCTCCATATCAGGTCCTGCCTCCAGGTTCCCGCCTTGACTTCCTGCCCCAACTTCCCTTAGTGATGGTGTGACCAGAGAGTTGTAACCTGAAATAATCCCTTTTCCCTACAAGTAGGTTTAGATCATGGTGTTTTATCCAAGCAACTGAACACATACTAGGACAGACTACTTTTATTAATGCCAATCTTAAAACAACAGATTGAATTAAAACCCATTCCTGTGTGGCACATGCCTTTAATCTCAGCACTTGGGAGGCAGAGGAAGGAGGATCTCTGTGAGTTTGAGGCCAGCCTGGTCTACAGAATGAGTTCCAGGATAGGCAGGATTACACCGAGGAAACCCTGTCTCAAACAAACAAACAAACAAACAACAACAACAAAATCCATTATGGTAAAACTGTATCTCGGACTTTTGGAGAACTTAAGACACATGGAATTTTACTGCATTTGTTGAACAACAGAGCTCATGAATAACCAATTTTTATAAGTTTCCTTGTTGGTACAAACCCAAAATTAAGGGAATTAGTGCCTTGCAAAGTATTCTCGTGGGATCACAGACTCACTGAATCAACAAAGTAGGCAACAGGATACCTACCGTCTCCCTGTGCGGCCCTGGCTGTCCTGGGATTTGATCTGTGGACAGGGCTGGTCTCCAACTCACAGAGATCCTCCCACACAAGACTGAATCTTTATTGCACTCTATTTTTTTAGGGGGGGGGGGCTTTTTACACAATGTGAAAAATAGAACTCTGACATTTTGATTTTTTTTCTTTCTGCTAAGGCCCTTCCTTTCTCTGTATTTTATCCTCTTCCTCCAACAAAGCTTTGCCATTTTTCATCCTAACCAATACTGTCATTTCTATACTGAAATCAAACAAACTCAACTCCACAGATTTGGAAAACACCAAGGAACACTACCCAACCCAGAGAAGGAGAAAGAAACGTCTAAATCCAAAGGTTGAGCAAGAAAACCTCCTGGCAGGCAGTGTCTGGCCTTATCAACCACAAAATTTCGGTGTAATGAAAACTCCACAGATGCCCTCACAGGCTCACGTGCCTCCTCCCACCCTCTCACTCCTCCAGGAACTCCTGGCACTAACTTCCCAAGGCACAGAACACCTGGCTTTCCATGAGTTTTAACCCAGAACTTCTCTGAGGCCCATCGTCCCAGTGCTGGAACTGGTTTCTGGCTCCCAGGCGCAGATATGGCCCTGGCTACCCCGGGTCTGGAAAAGCAGGCTTTAAGCTCAAGTTTGCAAATTCTGGAAAAGAAAGCAAGCCATGAGGGGGTGTGTGCGGGCTCTTCCATCTCCTTTAGAAAGCACTTAGCCAGAATAAGTCACCCACCCACCCCGGATACCTTCTATTGCAATCCTGCAGTCCCGGCCTCTTTAAAACCTGCATTTTTCTCCCTGGGAGAAAGCATTAGTTAATGATTGCCAGCCGACTTCTCTGGTTGGCAGGCCATGTGACCTAGACACGTGACTTGGAGCTGGCTGGGATGGTTTCTCTTATTTGAATAAGCTCGGGCTTATTATTGCAGTTACAAGTCTGTGGAAGCTGCGGGTGCAACGTGATTCCCTGGCGGTTACACAACGCTGGACAGCTGTGCTCGCCACTGCCAGCCGCTCCAGGGCTGACTTCTGAAGAAACAGAAAACAAACAGGACTTGGTGTTTTCCAAAGTAAGAGTCTGTTTTCCCCTTTGGAAAATGCATCTTGGCAAAAGGCAAGACCCAGCCTGGCCAAATTGTACTAGTCCTTTTAGGGCAAGAAAGATAAACTGTGCAGCAGGAGAAGAAGAGAGCAGATCCGGGTCGATTTTACCACACTCTCTTCTCTCCCTGAAAACGCCTGAAAATACGGGCTTTTTACGTTTATAGTCTACACTGCCGGGCAGTGGTGGCGCGCCCCTTTAATTTCAGCACTCCTAGAAGCACAGGCAGGTAGAGCTTTGTGAGTTTGAGGCCAGCCAAGGCTACATAGCAAATTCTTAGGCAGCCAAGACTATACTGTGAGAACCTGTCCTCTGGCCCCCTTCCCAGCAAAGTACACGAGGTTGAGGTTCTGATTTAGCAGTGAAGAGTGTTTGGCTTCTGTATGTGTGAAACTCCTAGGTTCAACCCCCAGAACCAAAACCAAACCAAAACAAACCCTACAATTATTTTTTAAATTTAAACTGTAAATAACAAGTTTCTTTGCGGTTCCTCCCTCCTTTAATTTGTCAAATACTAATAGTTGAATTTTTATTTTCAGCATATCCTTTAAAGGATCGAAAAGAGGGTCTCTAAAAGTGAAAGCTGGAAGACCCTTCTCAGGTTAAATTATATGCATGCATATGTGTTATGGTAGAAGCTTCACCCTAGCCCCTGGCATCCATATACCCAAAGAGTCTGGAATGTTATGTGGAAGTTCCTCCCTGTCTCTCTCCAAACCCTGCTGCATCTCAGAAAGCCCACCAAATGATGACCTCGCCCCCAGAAATGCTCAAGACCACTCCCACAGGGTATTTAAACTGTCCTTCAGAGAACAGACTCCTGGGTTTTCTTTCTTTCTTTCTTTCTTTCTTTTTTTTTTTTTTTAAAACAAGGGTTTTCCTGTGGCTTTGGAGGCTGGCCTAGAACTAGCTCTTATAGGCCAGGCTGGTCTCAAACTCCCGGAGATCCCCCTGCCTCTGCCTCCCAAGTGCTGGAATTAAAGGTGTGTGCCACCAATGCCCGGCCCAGACTCGTGGGTTTTCTGGTCTCCCTTTCCAGTCTCCTCTCTGGGGTGCTGCAAGGCCACCCAGGGGCGTTGTATTCATTAAACATGGGCTTTTTCTAATTTGGTTTGCTTTGGTCTGATTTGGATTGCTGCACCGGCAGAGAGGCTTATCAGGGTGTAGAAACTTTTCAATATATATGAAAATATGTGCAGGTTGGCCTCTGGGCAGGGGGGTCTCTCCTCCCCTATGATGTCATCTTTACTGTGTGCTTGCTAGAACTGCTCAAATCCCATGCCAATGGAACCCTGCAATGTTTAGCTTTCTCCTACCTCTGCTGTGGTGATAATTACAGGAGAGCGGTGGGGAGAAAACACTATGTGAGCCATCTCTAGCCAGGACTGAGCAGGACAGACACCCTCCCCAGGTGGGACTATAGAGGGAGGTCTCATAGCTGTCCCTTCCTGTGAGGAGGCCTTTCTTCAGGCCAGGCCAAGAAGTTCTCATCGGTGGAGTCTGTCATTCATTCTACAACCTGCTAAGTGTTATTGCAAAGACCTGGGAGGCAGAAGTGGACAGGCCTGGGACAGACAGACAGAGCCTTGTTACCTGGGGGCTTTACTCCAGTCATCTCCAGGGCCCAGCCTAGCCTGGGTTGCCAGGGTTCCTGCTCTACTGGCTAGAAGGACCCCTCAACTTGCCAGCTGACTCAGTGTGTGGTGGTTTGAACAGGAATGTCCCTCACAGGCTCCTGTATTTGTCATGGGCTGTTTGGGAAGGTTTGGGAGGTACAGGCTCAATGGAGTATGTCACTCCGAATGGGCTTTGAGGGTTTAAAGACTCTTGAGCAAGCTTTCAGGAACCTATTCCCCATACTGGGTTGTGTCACCCAGCCTTAAAATAAGGGGAGGTGCTTAGTCCTACCTCGACTTGATATGCCATGCTTTGTTGACACCCATGGGAGGCCTGCCTCTTTCTGAACAGAAACAGAGGAGGAAGGGATTGGAAGGGGGGCGGCACATGAGGAGAAGGGGAAGAAGGGGAAACTGCAGTCAGGATGTAAAATAAATGAAAAAATAATAATTAAAAAAAGACCCCATGCCATTTCCGGTGCACTGTCCCTGTTTTGTGCTTGTGGTTGAGGATGTGAGCCCTCAGGTCCTGTTCCAGCAGCCATACCTCTGTTCTTATCCCTCTGGAACCCTGAGGCCAAAACAACTTTTTCTCCTAGGAGGTGCCTTGGTCATGGTATTTTACCACAGCAACAGAAAAGTAACTAATACTCATGAGGAACAAGAATCCAATCTTTGCTGGAAGACACAGATATGACTTTGTTTCTTAGGGAAACAAAGCCAGCCTCAAGGGCCTCTCATGCACTCTGACTTATAAGGGTCTGGTTGCTGTTGGCAGCTGGACTGAAAGAAGAACAGGTCTACTCTAGAGTGAACCGTGCTCCTAACTGGAGAGTCGGACAGAACATCCTCATCCCTGCCTCTCCACAGCCAACCTGAAAGGCACCTTCGGCGCTGGCCTGCCCAAAGTGCCTAGGAATCAGGTGTGGTTGGCATGATGCCAACACCACTTATTTACTGCTGAGAGGTGTGTATGTTGTGTGTGGAGGCTTCCTTGCTTTCACAGGGCTGAACACCAACCTTCGGGAGACACATTCTCACAGTCAAACTACAGAGGGGCATACACTCAAAGTAAACAGTCTCAAACAAATGTCTACACCCTCATGATCCTTGTGGCATTACTCACAAGATTTCAAGCCTCCATCCATGAATGGATAGTGAAACAAGGTGTGGTTTGCAAATGCAATGAACTAATGAACAAACTATCCAGCCTTGTGGTGGTTTGAGTGAGAATAGGCTCAGATAGTTAAATACTTGGTCCACAGCTGTGGTGCTATTTGGCAAGGTAATGCAGTTCTGCTGGAGGAGGTATATGTCACTGAGGGTGGATTTTCTGAGTTTATAGGCTCACCCTACTTATCTAGTTCCCTCTCTCTACTTCCTGTTTGTAGTTAAAGACCTCTCAGCCTTCCTGCTCCTGCCACCGTGCATGCCACCTGCTGCCATGCCTACTCACCATGATGGACTCTTGTTTTTCTGGAACCATAAACAAACAAACAAAAACAAAAAACACCACCTCTACCACCTCTTTTTTCCATAAGTTGCTTTTTTTTTTTTTTTTAGCACAGCAACAGAAAGATAACTAATACAAGCCTCAAGAAGGAAGAAAATTCTGGGATAGCCTAGAAGAACCTGGAAGACACTATGCTAAATGAATTGAACCCTTCACAACACATGGTTATTATATAATTCTCCTTCTAGGAGGGATCTAGAGTTCAGTCCGTCAGATAGAAACACAATGTGGTTACTGATGGCTTAGGAAGGAGGAAACAAGGAGAGAGAAGTTGGTGTTTGGTAAGTAGGAAGCTTCCTTCATGGGAAAGACGAAGAGGCTCTGGAGACCATGTGAACACAATGGTCAGAGAACGTTCTTGATGCCACTCAACTGCCCACATATAATATTAACGTGCTAAGTTTTATATTGTCAATATCCTACCATAATAAAAAGATGAGTAGAATATTCCTAGCCTCTGGTACCCTCAAACAGCCTGTTTAGGAATGATGGGTTCTTTGTTGTCCTCAGAGACGAGAATCCCATGATGCCATCTTCTTGTCCTTTAACCTTGGCAGGTGCAACCTCCACAGCCCTCAGCCTTTGAGCTATTGGACAGATTTGCTAGCAAGAAAAATAGGGGCACATGAAAGATAAGACACAAGATCAACCCCAACTATGAACTGGCTCTGCTGCCACCATCAGGAAGGGGCCATCATGTTGAGATAAACTGGTCTTGGCTTGCACGTGTATGATTTTCCTCACCACTGCCAACTCATAATGCTAATTCTTTTTTTTTGTTGTTTTTTTGTTTTTGTTTTTGTTTTCCCTGTATTGCTTTGGAGGTTGTCCTGGAACTGCTCTGTAGACCAGGCTGGCCTTGAACTCACAGAAATCCACCTGTCTCTGCCTCCCGAGTGCCTAGATTAACGCCCGGCTTTCCTCACCTTTTAATAGATTTTTACAGAAGGTCATGGAAAATTCCTAAAGGAGAGTGAGCCTGGGGGCTGGGCTGGGAGAATGTGAGGGAGGAAGAGTCAAGGAAGCATAGGAGGAAGGGTAGACAGCAAGCCTCAAATGTTCCATAGGCCTCCTTGGAAGACATTAAATTAGGGGTTAGGATGGCCTTGGAGTACTGTCCATCTTAACAACTATCAGTCTCCACGACACACTCATAAACTAGAAAGCAAGTCAGATACAGGAGGCTTCTATTGCTACTATTCAACACATCTGTCCCCAGTTTCTGCCTTCCTCAGGGGTCAGCTTGGCACACATATCAACACACCTTGGAAGGGGAACCTCAACTAAGGAATTGCCTCCATTAGATGGCCCTGTGGGCGTGTCTGTGCGGCATTTTTATTGATTGCTATTTAACACAGGAGGGCCCAGCTCACTGTGTCACCCCTAGGCAAGTGGGCCTGGTTCACATAGCTCAACAAGCCAGAGGAAGAAGCCATAGCAGCGTTCTTCCATGGTCTCTGCTTTAGGTCCTGCCATCAGGTTCCTGCCCTGGCTTCCCTCCCTTGTTGTGGAATATTCCTTTACACCATGTGAAAATATGTCACTGTGATTGGTTTAATAAAAAGCTAAATGGCCAATATCTAGGCAGGATTTTCAAGGCAGAGGGGACACTGGG